AAAATAAAAAATTATGATTAGTTAAATGCGGTTTGCACGGTTTGTACAAATTAAGTAGTTCGCATTTGATCGCTCCCCTATATATATATATATATATATATATATATATAACAATCAATATTTGTATTCAAGTTATAGAAAAATATATACTTTTTATTTATAATTTATGAAACCACATATATGTAGATTACGTGTGAGAATTATTATATTTTTTAATATAAAATAATGGGTTTTAAATATTTTTGTAATTGAATTGGGTCGGGTCATTAAATGTGAATGTATATTTGGATGAGGAAGGTCAGATCCATGTGTTATGTTTATGGATTGAGGGGTGTGATCTTGAAAAGCATTGACAGTTCTTATAAATAGGGTGGGGAAATGATGGAGAGACATTCACATGAAGTTGCTTTTTCATATATTTAGATAAACATATGAATAAGTATTTAGGAATCATTTTAATTATGTGTTCAATTTAATGGTGCCTTTTTTAAATAAATATATTATGTATGTTTATACCAATAATTTTTTACCTTTGACATATAGCGTGAATTGGAGACGGTCAAATGGGTCCGAGACTGATTGAGACACGCAGTCCGGGACCGGTTACAATTTTTGTCAAAAAAGAAGGTTCGCCTGGCACTGGACCGGTCCAATTTTTCAAAAGTATTATCGTTTTATTACCGATACCCAACGACTATATGACCGTTTTCCTTATTTTTGACTCATTTTTACCAAGTTGCAACATATCCGTGACTTTCATTTTGATTTACAGTTTTTGTGATGATATCTTAATAATTTATTATAAATTATTTTTTAAATCAAATTATAGGTATTGATTTGATAAAGACAATTTCACATGGAGTTGCTTTAATTCATCCACAAGTTTCTTGTTTTTTGGAGATTGTGACCCTTAACAAAATACAACCCCTTCCCTTAATGAAAGTTAGTAACTCTTGTTGCCATTTATTGAACACTTTTTGGTACCAAAATTAAATAATGTGTTTTTAAATGCAAAAATATTTTACATCAATTATTTATTTTATGATAATGCTCAAATCAAATCAAAATAAATATACATGTTACATAAACCTTAGATGTTCTCAACCGATTTATTTAACAAAAATGAGATATTATATTCAGACATTTTAAATCGTTATATTAAAAATTATTTAATACTATAGTTTTATAATCGTAGTTAAAATATTTATAAAACTAAAAAATGGACAAGAAAAATGTTGACATGCCAATCAACCCATCTTAAGATTTAAAATTTATTAATTTTATCTCAAAAAGTTTTTGACGCGTTATTTAATATATTTATTTTGCAATCTCTATGGAAAAGTATCAAATGATTTCCAATCAAATTACCTATCAAAGTAGGCATGACAACAAGATGGGGATGGAGTGAGTTTTCTAATCCCCATCCTTGGTCCCCGGTTTATTTTCTAATCAAACCCCGATTCTCGTCCCTAGTCAAGATCTAATTTTAGAAATAATATATATATATATATTATATACACACATATATTATATAAAATATATTAATAAAATTATATACCGGGTACGGGATAGGTCGAAGGATACAATACCCGATCCTGGCCCCAACCTTTTAATTTGTGAATATTATTTTTTGCTATGAAAGAGAAAAAAAAAAAGAAGGAAGGGGACTTTTGCCTTTCACTTTAATCTCTCTCTCTTTTAATTTTTTTTATTTTAATGTCACTTTTTTTCTCAATGTCTCATGTTTTTATTTGATACAATTCAACTTTGGGAAAGTCAATTGTTGACCAAACATGAGTCGGTTGCAAACTTTAAGGAAAATTAAACCATTTTCTTTCTTATATTTTGTTTTTAGGGATATAAATAAATAAAATAATATAAGTATATCACAATAACAAAAAAATATCAAATAATAAATAAAAATAAGACAAAAACTGAAAAATAGTATGACTAAGAAGTTTTAAAGTCTGACGAGAATAATATTTTATACCTAACACTTTATTTATTTTCAAACGACACATTTACTATCTATTATTTGATTGATTAATTTTTTTATTTTTAAGTAATTCTCTAAACTTTTTAGGATTTATTTTTCGAGTTTTGTTTTAGTAAAAATGAAGAATAAAAGAAAATGATGGTGTAAAATTATTAGGAATAAATAGTTGAGGTAAATATGTATTTATGAAACTCAAGCAAATAAAATAAAACATACAAATTAAAAATACCACTAATATTTTTTTTTTTGGTATGGAGAAAACTAATGATAAATTTAACTAAAAATCATTAATGACGATAAATAGTATATTAAATACATCTTTAAAATGGGTCTTATTAAAAAAATGGATTTTTGTTCAAGAATGAAATCATGTTGAAACTATCCATATCTGGCTCATCATCATTAGACCTTAAGCCTCAATGGACTAATGGTTAAGCCGGCCTTGAGCTTAGGTCACCATTAAACTTAGTCTTACACATTTTAGGTTAAGAATGGGGACCGTTTATGTCATAATCGATAATAAGATAATGCTTTATAAATGAGACGTGCCATAATTGATCTTAACATGTAATTACAAGAGACGGTGACATGAGACTAGAGATGGCCAAATGGGCCCGGCCCGGCCCGTAACCGACGGAGGACCGGGACCGGGACCGGGACCGGAGAGGGACCGGGACCGGTAGGGACCGGTTGAGGGACCGCCGGTTATGAACCGGTTAGGGTTTTTGACCTTTTTTTGGACCGGGACCGGTTATGTAACCGGTTATAGGCCCGGCCCGGCCCGGCCCGGTCAACGAAAGTCAACAAAACGTATATATAATAAACCGTATTTTTATTGTGTATTTTTAAACGTATTTACAACAAAACGTATTTATAAACGTATATATATATATATATATATATATATATTACAAAACGTCTTTATAAACGTATATATATATATAACAAAACGTATTTATAAACGTGTATATATATATATATATATATATATATAACAAAACATATTTATAGTAAAATGTATTTATAATAAAACATATTCAAAATATCATATTACAAACACATTAATAACATTTTAAAAATGTATTAATAACCAAAAAATTTTAAAAAAATCATTTTTTTTTTTGAATAGGCCCGGTCGGGACCGGTTATGGGACCGGGACCGGGACCGGTTGGGACAACCGGTTACTAATAACCTTGACCGGTTACAAGGAAAATCACCGGGACCGGGACCGGTACCGGTTATGTCGGGACCGGTTACCGCCGGTTTTTGTCGCGATTAGGCCCGGTAGGGACCGGTTAAGGCCCGGCCCGGGACCGAATTTTGGCCACCTCTACATGAGACCCAAATGAACATGAATATAACGAAATCTTAATGTTATTCACAATATGTATCATTCTTGTTAAATATTTGAACTTTTTTTTACCATATTTGAAATTGCATATGTAATATTTTCTCAGGTTTGTATATCAATTATATATAAATATTATCGTTGAAATGTTTGTACTTATTACTTATGTTGTATAATACGATATATTCATTAACAAATATTCAATGTCATTGTTCTTTAACTAAAGAGCAAAGATCGAATTATGCTAATGCATAATTCGTAAATATTATTGGTTGTGTAAATGTGTCATAAAAGCAACATGTTCAATATTGATCTAAATGAATTCTTATTTATTTCGATACAAAAGGATGTAATGGTTACTTGATCTGTCATTCATGATTTTATAAATCAAATGCAACATTTGTTAGACCTCATAACTTATATTTGTAAAAGTAATGAAAAACAACAAGTGTGAAAGAGTAGAAGGCCGATGGAAGACTTCTAGGCAAAAAGACTACGTGTCCAATACAATCAGTAGACCGGTGAACGTCCAGAGGTGCGATGAACTGCGCATCTTCATAACCCCTCTGGTTACCAACACTTGGAGTCTTCCACGACAGTTCAACCAGAGGCACCCGATGAAGAAGATATCAAGACATGGTTGAACAACGCTCCATAGAAGACAGCTGGAGATGAGAAATCGGTAGCTGGATTCTCCAAAGATTTACTTTGCTTTATTTACTTTCTATATGTTTAGATAGCTTTCCTTTCCATAAGAGATTTGCTAAATATCTTCCATAGACAACAATCTCCATAATTAGCTTTCTAGTATAAATAGACATTAGCTCTCTTGTAATCGTTTACGCTTTTCCGCCTAATCATTTGAATAAAGTGAATCATTCGCACTCAAGTATATTTTTGAATATTCATATTTATGTTCTTGAGTGTTCTTCATTTTATTCCATCCACACGACATATTTAGGTTATTCATAACTTAAATATTAGTGTTATTGAGAAATCTGGGATCAACAGCATTTGATGGGTGCGATAATAACACCTCATTTACTAGAATTACACACCAAGACAGAAGTACATAAGACACACAATTTAAGGCTAAGTTGGTGTGACCAAATTGGAAATCAATTGTTAATAGATGTTCAAATTGAGAATTACGATCGAACTCTTGCCTAATTGTAACATCTAAACTGTATTTCGATGGATATGACGTCAAATGACGGAATCCTTTGATAAAATATCTATGTTTTTTGTATGTTGTTAAACAACCTTCAACTTTTGTCGAAGTATCATTGAGTTTATTTTCACCAAAGAACTAACTAACAAGATATTTTGAAGCTCCCTTGATGTAGCATAGTTGGTTCTAGATGTTGTACATGCATAAACAGACAATGATCCGAGTCTGACAATTACAGTGCAAATTTCCATTTTTTTTCTAGATTCTTATAGGCATTGGCTCTTAATTTGGCTAGCTAGCGGACCGCTGTATCTGATTTGTCTCTCACATGATATTCTTGGAACAAAACGGTGTTGTCGTCTTATCAATTACAAACCTTTTTACATAAACAATATGTTTTGAGAGAAATTGCCAAGTATAATGATTCATTTTACATTTCATAATTTACCCAAAATTGCTCTTTCAAAGTTTCAAGCTAAAACTTTTTTCATCGTTATGCTTTGTTAAAAATTGTGGATTTCATTTATACCGTTTTAAAATTTTGATTTTCATCCCTATGGTTTGAAATTTGATTTTATTTTCGTCTTCGAGACCAAAACATTACTTTTAAGTATGAATGACTAAGATAGAAATGAATTATAATAAATATAAACGAAAAAAAAGCCATAAATTTTCAATCATAAGAGAAAAAAGGTAATGAATTATAAATCATAGGATGAAAACTAATTTCGAAACCATAAAAACAAAAATAGAAATTTTCAACAAACCAGGGGGACTAAAAACGTAATTTACTCTTAAACCAATAATCAACCAGGATAATAAAAAGTTAAATACAACAATTAAAAAACCCTAATACCTTGATGTTTATAACAACTTTTAAAGAATATTAAAGAATGTGACGTCCTCAAATTTATTCCCTTTACTCTTTTGTAAATATGGCAGTTACCGTTCTTTTCTCTAATCATGTTGGACACAGGAACCCTACACTAATTGCCTCTCCACCCCTTAAAAACTGCTTCCTTTCTCTGTAAACTCACCTAAATCTTTCAAACAACCCTAGAGAGAGAGAGAGAGATGAAGAAAAACTTAGCATTATCAATATTTCTTGTTGCTCTATTCATCCAAAACCAGAGCATCTTTCTTGATATTGAGGCAGCTGGATCAAGAAATGATGGTTTCATCACAACAAGTGGAGTGCATTTCATGTTGAATGGTAGCCCTTATTATGCCAATGGCTTCAATGCTTATTGGTTGATGACTTTAGCTTCAGACCCTTCTCAAAGACCCAAAGTTTCAGCTGCTTTCCAACAAGCATCTTCCCATGGCCTTGCTGTTGCAAGAACTTGGGCTTTCAGTGATGGTGGCACCACTCCTTTACAATACTCCCCTGGTTCTTACAATGAGCAAATGTTCAAGGTACACCGACAGATTTTACCTTTTTTTTGCTTAAATTAATGATATATTATATTTATAAAAAAAAAAAAAAACTGGGTTGTTTTGGTGGGTGTGAGGTTGCTGACATTTTCTTGATTTGAATTTGTTGTGGGGTTGAAAAGGGGTTGGATTTTGTGGTGGCTGAAGCAAGAAGATTTGGGATGAAACTGGTTTTGAGTTTGGTGAACAATTATGAAAACCTTGGTGGTAAAAAGCAGTATGTGAATTGGGCTAGAAATCAAGGTCAATACATAACATCTGATGATGATTTCTTCAGAAACCCTGTTGCTAAGGGGTTTTACAAGAATCATGTTCAGGTACCCACTTAATTAACCTAATTTTTACAATCCTTTTTTGATTTTCTATTAATATTTTTATAATTATGCAGACTGTGCTCAATAGATATAATACAATAACTGGAGTTGTGTACAAGAATGACCCAACAATCATGGCTTGGGAGCTCATGAATGAGCCCAGATGCACTTCTGATACATCAGGGAGAACAATTCAGGTTCTTGTTCGACCTTTTATGTCAATCTGTTCTTGCCAGTCCTTTTTGCTTCATATTTGTCACAAAATAAGTCCCGATTTAGTGTGCGCAATCGATAACAAGGGTTTTATGCGAAATCAATAACAGTCAAGTTCTTAAACTTCAAACCAGCACCCTTGTTGATTTTTAAAGAATGTGATCAAGAAAAAGAACAAGATTTCTATCTGGGATTGAATTTTGGTATGTTCTTCTTAAGTTTCTTGAAAACATCAACTAAAATAAAGGCTGACCAATTGACTTCAATTCTTCATTGGTTTCTGCAACTGATCTGGGTTGGATTTCCACGGGGAGTGCTAATGGCAACCCGGGTGTAAAATGTTTTGAAATTTGAATCATGATTTAAAAAATAAAAGGTCAAAATCAACCAAAATATAATATTGGACCCGAACCGACTTAAAAATATAATAATTTGAAAAATAAATAAGATATTTATAAAAGGCTTGAAAATGTAATCACTTTTACAAAAAATATTATTTCAGATTTTTTGGATTATTTTAATATTTTTAAAAATGATGTAATTAAGAGATTGTGAATAAAATAAAATAATTAATATTGTGCAACTCAGAGAGTCATAGTTATTTACAAAAAAAATTCATTCTTATATATATATTTTTTAATAAATAAATTATCGAACTCTTAAAAATTAATTATTTGGATTATTTTAACCCAAAAAATGTAATATATTATAGATTCCTTGCTTCATTATTTAAATAAGTGGAAAAACGATTTTTAAGTTATGAATTTTCTTATTTTAATCTATCTAGATAGTTGTTGAATAAATATTTTTATAATACGTAAGGATTTAATAATATTATTATTATATTCAATTTAATATGTAATTTGAAATATAAAAAAATATTTTTTAATAAATAATTATTAAAAATTAATTGTTATTATATACGATATATATATATATATATATATCTTAAAAATAAAAAAGTAAGGTTTTTAAAAAAATATATTAAAAGAGAAAAGAAAATATATAATATATTTATAACAAGATAATTAAAAAAATTAGTATAAAAAAAGACAAAAAAAACAAAAAAATAACAAAAATAAAATGATTACCTAACTTTAGGTCCCATAAGTAAAAGAGAGGGGTGCCTCATTTCCACAGCGTCATGACTTCCTGGTGTTGCTGTTGAGTAATTTCTGTGAGCCATACCTACTGACCCACCTCATTGGGTGGCACCAAGCACCAATAGACACACAACACATCCACAACTGGTTTCAGAGCTCACATGTCCCAAAATCATAGAAAAATTTGTAAAATGCATCTCCAACAGAACCGTAATATAATTTTTTTAAATAAAATATAAATATTTAAAATCTACCAAAAAAAATTACAATCAAAACTTGAATAGTTACTCTATTTCATTGATTACATTGTTAGTTATATTATTATAATATTCAATATATATAATAAAATATTATTTATTTCTCTTAAACATTTAGATTTTCTACCGTCTCTTTTTCTATATTTTAGCATACGTTATAACATAGTTGTTCGAGAAAAAGTATACCCTAAATCTTCAAAATCTCTATTGTAACATAGTTGTTGGAGATGCTATAATGTTAAAACTAGTAAATGATTGGTATTGTTGTCCACCAATTTAAGAAATTTTTTACAAAAGGATTTCTAGTTTTAAATGTTGTAAGAGGTCACAACAGCTTGTTAGGTGACTCACTTAAAAATGAATGTTTAGAGAGGAGCATAAATTGTCACACTGGTATTGTCTTAGTAAACATGCATGTTAATATAATTTGCTTTTGCCTTTGATTATATTCTCTTAAAAAATATGAAAATGAAAAAAATAAAAGCCATTGTATTTTTCAAATGCTAATTTTATTTTTGCACAAAATATTCGCTACATACTTATCTATATTATATTACTAGAAGGGTATTCATGCGGTACAGCGAAATACATATTGATTTTAATATTTCATTTTATTCTTTATCTCAGTCGATGTTATAGTAAGGTTTTATGTGAGTTTAAAAAAAACGATGATGTTTTTATTTTTGAATAAAATATAAATTTGAATATATCGTAAAAATTTGACAAAATTATATCGATATTAGTATCAAATTAACTATTTAAAATTCTTATATTTTGGGTAAATTTTTAATTCAATTTTTTTTATTATAATTTAATTTAGGTTCAATAACGAACTAATTTATATTTGGTTTAATAATATAATTTTCTTATAAAGATAATAATTAATTATTTTATTAGAACTTGATAATTATTGTTTAGATTTTTTATATTTTAAAATGAGATGTTTATCCTCTATTTGGTTATGTTTATCCGCAGTTAGTTACACGAATTCAAACATGGAGTTTTAATAAGTTGTACTTATGCATAATTTACTTGTAATCTTGAATTTTAAGTAATGTACATCAATACATAGTACTGCATGCATAAAAAATGGTTTTTAAGAGTTTTTGTCAAATACTTTATAATATAGTATAGATAAGCATTTGATAAAACTTTTAAAAATCATTTTTATGCATGAAGTATTGTTTATTATGCATGTTACTTAAAATTCAAGATTTAAGTAAATTCTACGAAAGCTCCATGTTTGAATTCGTGTAACTAATTGCTGATATAAATAATCAAATATAAGATAAACATCTTACTATAAATATAAAAAATTTAAAATACAATTAGAATAATCATGAAGTTTTAACAAAATACTTAGAGGGTGTTTAGTTCGGGCAGAAAAATGAAAATAGATATAAAAATGAAAATAACAATGAAAACTTTAATTTAATTTGGAATGAAAATTTGAGTTTTTGAAAGAATAGACCCATTATAATATAAAAAATCAAACAGTTTTTTTTATTTTTATTCTTATTAATTACTGCTTAATACCTCTTACCAAATACCTCCTTAGTTATTATTTTTATAAAAAATTATATTATTAAATTTAAAATAAATTATTTTATTATTAAATCTAAATTAAAATATAATAATAATATTGAATTAAAGAAATTGCCCAAAAATCGAGAATTTTATCGTTTTTTTAAAACCTTATTATATCAACAAAAATAATATATAAAAGAAAACATTAAAATCGAGATATATCTCATTGCATTACATAAATACCCTTCTAACAGTCATAACCGAAATACTACAGATTTTTCGAACCAAATTGTTTATTCTTGTTCTAAATTAACCATTTATTTCGGTTAATTTAATTAAATTTATATAAAAATAATGGAACTGTAACGACTTTTATCTTGTTGGTTCAAGATTATATATGTATTTTGGTGTTGATAATGAGCAGGCATGGATTACAGAAATGGCTGCACATGTGAAGTCCATAGATCGAAATCACTTGCTAGAAGCAGGTCTCGAAGGCTTTTACGGCAAAACCAATTCCCGAAATCCCGGTTTCGATGTCGGAACCGACTTCATTTCCAACAACCTGGTTCCCGGCATCGATTTCGCCACCCTTCACTCCTATCCCGACCAATGGTAATTTCCCATTTTACCCTTCGCATTTCCTATCACTACTTTACGAACTCATCCCTTTATTGTTCAACCAGGCTAACGAGCTATGACGATCAATCTCAACTCAATTTCCTCAACGATTGGCTAAGAACCCACATTCAAGATGCCCAATACGTCCTCAAGAAACCGTTACTCTTGACGGAATTCGGGAAATCGGCTAAAGATCCGAATTTCAGCACATACCAAAGAGACAGACTATTTAATTTGGTCTACAACAACATATACATGTCGGCAAAACACGGTGGTGCGGCTGCCGGTGGCCTGTTCTGGCAGCTTCTAGCAGAAGGGATGGAGTCATTTGGTGATGGGTACGACATAGTTCTGAGCCAAGCCTCATCGACCACCAATCTTATCAGTCAACAGGGACACAAGCTTTACCAGGTTAGAAAAATATTCGCTAGAATGAGAAACGTGCAGAGGTGGAAGAGGGCTCGTGCCGCTAGACGGGCTCAGTGGTTGGCTTGGAAACGAGGCCTGAAACCTATCGGAAACTAACGATGATATAAGTTACGAGCAATCTTACAAGAAAACTTTTATATTTTGTGTATCGATCTCTCTTAGAGATGCATAATGTACGTCCAGGAGGGTGGCTTTGAAATCATTGTACCGATGATCAAGAAAACGTTATATTTGTGTGCCTTGAAATGAAAATTTCGTGTTTGAAACGGGAACTATGATCACGTTTAATGTTAACCACGATTTTTTATAAGGTAAGGAAACAACTTTTTTTACAAATTACTAGTAGACAAATGAAGCAAAGAAAGTTAACGCCATAAACAGGAGCTATATGCCTTTAGAACCACGGGATCGCAGGTGCAAAACCATAAGACGGAGAAGATAGAGCCCACCACCGCACCTGCGATCACTTGACTGGTTGTGTGATAACGTAGTAGAACCCGTAGCCATGACTGTATCGATGGACAGCAGGACAAAATATGCGTTAATTCTGAAAACCATATTCCACTACAACAATTTATATGATGCCAAATATGTATAAATATCTTAACATATTGTTTTATAAGACCAAACAATTATGTGTTAAAAGTGTTGCAATAAGTTAATTGAACGCTTTTGGATGTACTGACAAGTTTTGAGAACATTTTTGAAATAAACTGTCTTATTAGTCTCTTATAGGATAAAAAGTGTCATTTGAACACATTTTTACAGGTTACTTCCTTTCAAAAGATATTTTTCAAAAAATGTCATACAAAAAAAACTAACACGACTAGGGACGGACCAGAATTTTTTTCAGACGGTAGCACCATTTGATTAAAAAAATGACACTAACATAATTCGAACTCGAGTTTATGGTGGAAGAAAAGCCTTGCAAACCAATTCTACCAAAGAAAACTTGTTCTCATTGTAGTTTCAAAATATATACGGTGGCACAAACAAATTAATACGGTGACACTACCCTAAATTTTTTTACACTTTGAAGGATGAACAATACGGTGGCATGAGCCATCGTATGCTCTTAATTGGGTTCGTCCCTGAACACGATATTTTATTTCAAAAGTATCATAAAAAAACTTGTTAAAATGCCCGAAAACGTCTAATCAACTTAATATAATAACCTTACATATGACACATGATTGACTAATTCTATAACTTTAAGTCTTATGACACAATGTATTAATACATTTATACATATTTAGGGGGTGTTTGGGTAAGCTTATTTAAAACAACTTATACTTTTTTGTAAAAGTGCTTATTAACTTATGCGGTATCAAACTGGAGTTTTGTAAAAAGTGTTTGGATTAGCTTATAGCGATACCAAAATGTAAAATGACCAAAAAGGACAGCTCATTTTTAGGTTATATTTGAAACCCTAGAATCGTTGGAAGTTGGTTGAAGAAAAAGGGTTCATATTTGAAACCCTAGAATCGTTGGAAGTTGGTGAAGCGAAGGAAGAAGCAGGAAGCGAAGGAAGAAGCAGGAAGAAGGAAGAAGCAGGAAGCGAAGGAAGAAGCAGGAAGCGAAGGAAGAAGCAGGAAGAAGGAAGAAGCAGGAAGCGAAGGAAGAAGCAGGAAGAAGGAAGAAGCAGGAAGCGAAG